CTACGAGTCCCTGTGAGTCCCTGTGAGTCCCTGTGAGTCCCTGTGAGTCCCTGTGAGTCCCTGTGAGTCCCTGTGAGTCTCTGCCAGTCCCTGTGAGTCCCTATGAGTCCCTATGAGTCCCTGTGAGTCTCTGTAAGTCCCTGTGAGTCATACATTTTCCCCATAGAACTCAATGTAAACTAAAACAGCTCGACCTCAGCTGACAGAGAACCTGACAGAGAACCTACAGCTTTCATAAAGGTCGGATTTTGTGGTGATGTTAGTGTCCCTTGTCATCCTGAACTTTTTTTCTTCTTAAATCCTTCGGTTTTCTTTAAATCCACACTTTAGTGCCACAAACTCTGCTCCTTTCCTTCCCGCTCTGGCTCTAACTCCTGCACTGATGAACTGCTCTGATTGGTCAGAGCGTGGCCGAGCCCCTCTGTGCACGTGCATGAGAGCCACACACGTGTATTTGGCTCAATGCATTATGGGAGATCATCCACTGCACAGAACCGGGAGGACCAGACGAGACCCAAATACAGGCGAGTCTCCCATGGATCTTTGCGAGTTCCAGGCGACTTCCGCTAATATGTCAGCGACCGTGCCGGCACAAAGCGCCACTGAGCACAACCATTCATTTAAATACACCGCCATCTTGGATCGCCGGGGCTTGGTGTGTGTTTGGGTCTATGTCTGTGTGTGTTTTTTGTGTGTGTCTATGTCTGTGTGTGTTTTTTGTGTGTGTGTTGTGACATGTCCAATATTTACGGTCTCCGAGAGAACTACAGTTGTCATTTAGAGCTACACAAGAATACATACATTGAATTGAATAAACTTTGGATTTCCTTCCCTCATGAGCCAAACATCTCTCTTAAAACAACTCTAAATGACCTAAAATATACATATTTACTTGTGTTTAGTTGTGTGTGTCCCCCGTGGATCGATAGGACACGGTGTAGGACAGGCGCCGCAGTGACCTTTCCTTTGATAAACAGGCTCCAGGTGCTCCATCACTTTGGATAATGTTAATATATACTGTGCAATATTCATAGGGATGATGGGCCTCCTATAAAGTCTGGCTCGTTAGAATCCCTAATCCAGGGAGACTCCAGGCGGGACACACGGAGCCCCAGCCTCTGTTTATGCCGCACTTGACCTGCTGAATTAAAGATCAACCGAAATCCAAACGCAGCCTTAAAAATGTGCATCAATCATTTATGGCTCCATTTAAAAAGCAAAAACACATGACGCCATCGTTTGTTATTAGTGAGGGAAGTCATGAGGCGTTTGTGTTGTGTCTGTGTTAGAGAAGAGAGAGCAGAGAGAGTAGAGAGGGAGAGAGCAGAGAGAGTAGAGAGGGAGAGAGCAGAGAGCAGAGAGGGCGAGAGCAGAGAGCAGAGAGGGAGAGAGCAGAAAGACAGAGTGCAGGGAGAGAGCAGAGAGAGAGAGAGCAGAGAGGGAGTGTAGAGAGAGAGAGTAGAGAGGGAGAGAGCAGAAAGACAGAGTGCAGGGAGAGAGCAGAGAGAGAGAGAGCAGAGAGGGAGTGTAGAGAGAGAGAGTAGAGAGGGAGAGAGAGAGAGCAGAAAGACAGAGTGCAGGGAGAGAGCAGAGAGAGAGAGAGCAGAGAGGGAGTGTAGAGAGAGTAGAGAGGGAGAGAGCAGAGGGAGAGAGAGAGAGCAGAAAGACAGAGTGCAGGGAGAGAGCAGAGAGGGAGAGAGCAGAAAAAGAGAGAGCAGAGAGAGAGAGAGAGCAGGGAGAGAGTAGAGAGAGACTGAAGAGAGAGACCAGAGAGAGACCAGAGAGAGAGACCAGGGAGAAATACCAGAGAGAGAGACCAGATAGAGAAAACAAAGAGACCAGAGCGAGGCCAGAGAACGAAGCCAGAGAGAGAGACACGAGAGAGACCAGAGAGAGAGACCAGAGAGAGACCAGAGAAAGACCAAAGAGAGGCCAGAGAGAGACCAGAGAGAGAGACCAGAGAGAGAGACCAGAGAGAGACCAGAGAAAGACCAGAGAGAGACCAGAGAGAGTCCAGAGAGAGACCAGAGAGAAACCAGAGAGAGACCAGCGAGAGGCCAGAGAGAGAGACCAGAGAGAGACCAGAGAGAGACCAGAGAAAGACCAGAGAGAGTCCAGAGAGAGTCCAGAGAGAGACCAGAGAGTCCAGAGAGAGACCAGAGAGAGACCAGAGAGAGACCAGAGAGAGACCAGAGAGAGACCAGAGAGAGAGACCAGAGAGAGAGAGACCAGAGAGAGAGAGGCCAGAGAGAGACCAGAGAGAGGCCAGAGAAAGACCAGAGAGAGACCAGAGAGAGTCCAGAGAGAGACCAGAGAGAGTCCAGAGAGAGACCAGACAGAGACCAGACAGAGACCAGAGAGAGACCAAAGAGAGACCAGAGAGAGAGACCAGAGAGAGACCAGAGAGAGACCAGAGAGAGACCAGAGAGAGACCAGAGAGAGACCAGAGAGAGTCCAGAGAGAGACCAGAGAGAGACCAGAGAGAGACCAGAGAGAGACCAGAGAGAGAGACCAGAGAGAGAGACCAGAGAGAGAGACCAGAGAGAGAGAGACCAGAGAGAGAGACCAGAGAGAGACCAGAGAGAGACCAGCGAGAGGCCAGAGAGAGGCCAGAGAGAGAGACCAGAGAGAGACCAGAGAGAGACCAGAGAGAGACCAGAGAGAGACCAGAGAGAGACCAGAGAGAGACCAGAGAGAGACCAGAGAGAGACCAGAGAGAGAGACCAGAGAGAGACCAGAGAGAGGCCAGAGAGAGGCCAGAGAGAGAGACCAGAGAGAGACCAGAGAGAGGTTAGAGAGAGACCAGAGCGAGACCAGAGCGAGACCAGAGAGAGACCAGAGAGAGACCAGAGAGAAGCATACAGAAAGGTGAACAGTGTTATATTGAGGGTCCACATTTCTTCCACAGTTGTAAATCCTCTGGTCCAGAATCAGGTCATTTTAAACTAATTAAATTAATATATTAAGACACTTTATTGCTTTAATTCAGTCACACATTTTTATAAAGCTTGTAATTGGTTCAGATTTGCCACTCGTCACCCATTTATTATTTTTCTAATAAAAATCCCACTTGAAAATGTTGACGTAAGTGGAGTTCTGCTTTAGTGACGTACAGGTCATGATTCCAAGGTCTAACCTAAGATGTAGTTTATGGTGATTTAATGATGGTTCTACAGGTTTTAGTAAAACAGAGAGAGAGACCAGAGAGAGACCAGAGAGAGAGACCAGAGACAAAAAGTAAGCAGAGATCAGAGAGAGAGATCAAAGAGAGAGAGAGATTAGAGAGAGACCGGAGGGAGTTTAGAGAGAGAGAGATCAGAGAGAGAGAGACCAGAGAGAGACCAGAGAGAGACCAGAGAGAGACCAGAGAGAGCCCAGAGAGAGAGATCAGAAAGAGAGACCAGAGAGAGACGAGAGAGAGATACTAGAGAAAGAGACCAGAGGGAGACCAGAGGGAGACAAGAGAGAGAGACCAATGAGAGCAAGACCAGAGAGAGAGACCAGAGAGAGAGACCCGAGATAGACCAGAGAGAGATCAGAGACAGAGAGAATAGAGAAAGAGACCAGAGAGAGAGAGACCATGAGAGAGAGAGCAGAGAGAGAGAGCAGAAAGAGAGCAGAGAGGTTACTGATCCCTCCCTTCCTTCTCCTTCTCTGTTCCCAGTGTTTCCAGTGTGAGTCCAAACAGGTGGAGCAGGTTTCCCCCGTAGCACCTGCGGACAATAAAATCTGAGAGTCTGAGCGCAGAGGCCTCGGCGGGAGCGACCACGCCCTCAGGCCCCGCCCCCAGGCCACGCCCCCTCAGACGCCACCGTTGCTCCTGTAAAACCACAAAGACTCTCTCACACGTAAAGCATCGGATGACTCTTTCTTTCCATGATGACGGGCAGGGAATCCTCAACACAAAACACAACAAAAGTGTGAGTTATGTCATTCATAAAACACAAACAAAGAGAAGAGTTCAATCCTGGTCACACGGAGATAATAATAATGACCAGAGAGAGAGAGAGAGAGAGAGAGAGAGAGAGAGACAAGAGAGAGAGCTGAGAGTGACAAGAGAGCATAGAGAGACAAGAGAGAGAGACAAGAGAGAGAGCTGAGAGTGAGAGAGAGACAAGAGAGAGAGAGATAGACAAGAGAGAGCTGAGAGTGACAAGAGAGCATAGAGACAAGAGAGAGAGACAAGAGAGAGAGCTGAGAGTGACAAGAGAGCATAGAGAGACAAGAGAGAGAAACGAGAGAGAGAGACAAGAGAGAGAGCTGAGAGTGACAAGATAGAGAGACTTGAGCGAGAGCATAGAGAGACAAGAGAGAGAGCAGACAGAGGCAAGAGAGAGAGACAAGAGAGAGAGCTGAGATAGAGACCAGAGAGAGAGATCGCAGAGATAGACAAGAGAGAGAGAGATTAGAGAGAGACAAGAGAGAGAGAGCAGAGAGAGAGAGTAGAGAGAGACAGGAGAGAGAAGAGAGATATCTTTGTACCTCTCTCTCCTCTGTCATCTCTCCTCTCTGTCCTCTCTCATCTGTCCTCTTTCCCCTCTGTCTCCTCCTCTCTCTCATCTCTACTCTTTGTCTCCTCCTCTCTCCTCTTTCCCCTCCTCTCCTCTCTCTCTTCTCCTCTCTCTCCTCCCTGTCGCCTCCTCTCTGTCCTCTCCTCTCTGTCCTCTCTCCTCTCTATCCTCTCCTCTCCTCTCTGTCCTCCCTCCTCTCTGTCTTCTCTCTCCTCTCTGTCCTCTCCCTCCTCTCTGTCCTCCCTCCTCTCTGTCTTCTCCTCTCTCCTCTCTGTCCTCTCTCTCCTCTCTGTCCTCTCCCTCCTCTCTGTCCTCTCTCCTCCCTGTCTCCTCCTCTCTGTCCTCTCCTCTCTGTCTCCTCTCCTCTCTGTCCTCCCTCCCTGTCCTCCCTCCCCTCTGTCTTCTCCTCTCTGTCCTCTCCCTCCCCTCTGTTTCTCCTCTCTGTCCTCTCCCTCCTCTCTGTCCTCTCCTCTCTGTCCTCTCTCCTCTCTATCCTCTCCTCTCTGTCCTCCCTCCCCTGTCCTCCCTCCTCTCTGTCTTCTCCTCTCTGTCCTCTCCCTCCTCTCTGTCCTCTCCTCTCTGTCTTCTCCTCTCTGTCCTCTCCTCTCTGTCCTCTCTCCTCCCCGTCTCCTCCTCTCTGTCATCTCTCCTCTCTGTACTCTTTCCTCTCGGTCTCCTCCTCTCTGTCATCTCTCCTCTTGGTCTCCTCTTCTCTGTCATCTCTCCTCTCTGTACTTCCTCCTCTCTGTCCTCCCTCCTCTCTGTACTCTCTCCTCTTGGTCCCCTCCTCTCTGTCATCTCTCCTCTCTGTCCTTCCTCCTTTCTGTTCTCTCTGTCTCCTCCTCTCTCCTCTCTGTCCTCCCTCCTCTCTGTCTCCTCTCTCTCATCTCTGTCCTCGCCCTCCTCTCTGTCCTCTCTCCTCTCGATCTCCTCTCTCCTCTCGATCTCCTCCTCTCTGTCATCTCTCCTCTCTGTACTCTCTCCTCTCCTCTCTGTCTCCTCTCCTCTCTGTCCTCTCTGTCTCCTCCTCTCTGTCTCCTCCTCTCTCCTCTCTGTCCTCTCTCCTCTCTGTCCTCCCTCCTCTCTGCCTCCTCCTCCTTCATCAGTCCCAGAGAGATTTAAAGTAGGTAAACAGTCTGGTTTTACGACGGCCCTACTCAGAGCGTGGCCTGTGTAATTGAAAAGCTCTCGGTGACTATTTTAAGAGAGCAGTGGGAACAGACTTCCATGTGCCGCTGGGAACCACTCACACCACGCTTTTTATGCTTTTCCTGCTCTGGTCTCTCACTGGTCTCTCTTTGGTCTCTCTGTAGTCTCTCTTTGGTCTCTCTGGTCTCTCTTTGGTCTCCCTCTGGTCTCTCTCTGGTCTCTCTCTAGTCTCTCTTTAGTCTTTCTCTGGTCTCTCTCTTGTCTCTCTTTGGTCTCTCTTTGGCGGCACGGTGGCTGAGTGGATAGCACTCTCGCCTCTCAGCAAGAAGGTCCTGGGTTCGAATCCCGGTCGGACCAGGGCCTTTCTGAGTGGAGTTTGCATGTTCTCCCCGTGTCTGCGTAGGTTTCCTCCGGGTACTCCGGTTTCCCCTACCACTAAAAATATGTCCAATAGCCATGTCTGGCATGCGCCTCCTGTACCGGCGACCCCGCTCCCATCTCTGTACATAATTAACAATGTAAACCGCTTTGAGACTCAGATCTGCAGTGAAAAGGTGGTATATAAATAAAGATTACAACTACTCTCTTTGGTCTCCCTCTGGTCTCTCTCTGGTCTCTCTGTAGTCTCTCTCTCTAGTCTCTCTTTGGTCTTTCTTTGGTCTCTCTTTGGTCTCTCTCTAGTCTCTCTCTCTGGTCTCTCGCTGGTCTCTCTCTTGTCTCTCTGTAGTCTCTCCTTGGTCTCTCGCTGGTCTCTCTCTGGTCTCTCTGTAGTCTCTCTCTCTAGTCTCTCTTTGGTCTCCCTCTGGTCTCTCTCTCTGGTCTATCGCTGGTCTCTCTCTTGTCTCTCTGTAGTCTCTCTCTCTAGTCTCTCTTTGGTCTCCCTGGTCTCTCTTTCATCTCTGTCTCTAGTCTCTCTTTGGTCTCCCTGGTCTCTCTTTGGTATCTCTGTAGTCTCTATTTGGTCTCCCTCTAGTCTCTCTTTGGTCTCCCTGGTCTCTCATGGTCTCTCTTTGGTCTCTCTCTCTAATCTCTCTTTGGTCTCTCTGTAGTCTCTCTTTGGTCTCTCTGTAGTCTCTCTTTGGTCTCTCTCTAGTCTCTCTTTAGTCTCTTTCTGGCCTCTCTCCGGTCTTTCTCTAGTCTCTCTCTACTCTCTCTCTGGTCTCTCTCTCTTTGGTCTCTCTGGTCTCCCTCTGAGTTCCTAGGTACAGACTAACATTGTGTTTGTATAAATGCCGCTTTTTTCTGCTTCCGCCTGTGATTTTGCCATTAAACTGATCGGGGTAAAATTACTTCAAACCTGATCTACACTTTTGAAATATAACAAGTCAATAACTATTCACGGTTTTAAAACAGGTGATAAAATAAATCCACTTTTCATGTACCGTGACTCTGTATGGTTCTAAAGCCTGGAGTGATTGTTGCTTTGAGGCCATTGTTGTGGACAGACATGTTGGAGACGCTGCCCTGATCCTCTCCCTGTGCCTGGTGTGTACGGCTCCTTCAGCTGAAACACTGAAGCTGCCAAAACCAACACAGCTCGAGCCGCAGAACAAAGTCTTAGGAAGTATGCTCTCTCTGGTCTCACTCTCTCTCTCTAGTAGTCTCTTTCTAGTCTCTCTCTCTTTCTGGTCTCGCTCTGCTTTCCCTTTGGCCTTTCTCAGGTCTCTCTCCAGTCTCTCTTTGGTCTATCTTTCTAGTCTCTCTGGTCTCTATCTTGTCTCTCTCTCTAGTCTCTCTGGTCTCTATCTTGTCTCTCTCTCTAGTCTCTCTGGTCTCTCTCTGGTCTCCCTCTCTCTGGGCTCTCTCTCTAGTCCCTGTGGTCTTTCTGGTCTCTCTCTGGTCTCCCTCTCTCTGGGCTCTCTCTCTAGTCCCTGTGGTCTTTCTGGTCGCTCTATGGTCTCTCTCTAGTCACTCTTTCCTTGATCTCTCTGGTCTTTCTCTAGTCTCTCATTTGTCTCTCTCTGGCCTCTGGTCTCTCTCTAGTCTCTCTCTGGTCTCTCTCTCTAGTCTCTGTGGTCTCTCTGGTCGCTCTCTGGTCTATCTCTAGTCTCTCATTTGTCTCTCTCTGATCTCTCTCCTCTCTCTGGCCTCTCTGATCTCTCTCTCTGGTCTCTCTCTGATCTCTCTCCTCTCTCTGGTCTCTCTCTGATCTCTCTCTGGCCTCTCTGGTCTCTCTCTAGTCTCTGTGGTCTCTCTCTGGTCTCTCTCCTCTCTCTGGCCTCTCTGATCTCTCTCCTCTCTCTGGTCTCTCTCTGATCTCTCTCTCTGGCCTCTCTGGTCTCTCTCTAGTCTCTGTGGTCTCTCTCTGGTCTCTCTGATCTCTCTCTCTGGCCTCTCTGATCTCTCTCCACTCTCTCTGGTCTCTCTCTGATCTCTCTCTCTGGCCTCTCTGGTCTCTCTCTAGTCTCTGTGGTCTCTCTCTGGTCTCTCTGATCTCTCTCCTCTCTCTGGTCTCTCTCTGATCTCTCTCTCTGGCCTCTCTGGTCTCTCTCTAGTCTCTGTGGTCTCTCTCTGGTCTCTCTCTGCTCCCTTTCTTTGGCCTGGGCCTAACAGTGCAAACAGCAGCGTCATGTTATTCCTTATTTCCTGTAATATCTACATGACATGACCATAACAACCCCATGCCTCTCTCGCTCTCTCTCTCCTGCAGCACGCGCCTGTATCTCTAATTAAAAGAGAAAGTGTCCTTGCTGCGTTTGAACAGGTTTTTTCACTCAGACCATCTGTTCTTCACACTGCTCTCCAACCCCCCGACCGCCAACATCCCGCAAACCAAAATTAACGCTGTTTCGGAGCAAGTAAAAAGTTTAAACAAACAGAAATATCAACCGTCAGCGTCTGGTCTGGGCCCCGGAGTCGGCCATAACACACTCTTTGTTTGGCCCTCGGTGTAAACTCTTATTTTGGTCCTGGTGTGCCTGTGTGGACTGGTGCGGCCTGCGTCATTATGCATAACTGCTTTGACTTCCACACAAACAGGGGCCACTTTTCTAAATGAGAGAAAAAAGTGCTGAGGTGAGAGCAAAGAAGGGTCGTAATTTGATACCAAGAAAAAAGCAACCGCTCAGAGAGAGGAAACGTCATGGTTTGGATTGGTTTGGATTGGTTTGGTATCACCACGACTGCTTTTATCGTATTTACACGAAACATTTATGTGTTCGAGGCTAAACTGTTGTTTTTTTGTTGTTTTTAAAATTTTTTTTACCACAGATTTAAGCATGGATATGTGTATCTCTGGTCTCTCTCACTAGTCTCTCTTTAGTCTCTCTCTCTGGTCTCTCTCTTTCAGTCTCTTTCTGGTCTCTCTCTGGTCTCTCTCTGGCCTCTCTTTGGTCTCTCTCTTTGTTCTCTCTTTGGTCTCTCTTTGGTCTCTCTCTTTGGTCTCTCTTTGGTCTCTCTCTTTGTTCTCTCTTTGGTCTCTCTTTGGTCTCTCTTTGATCTCTCTCTCTGGTCTCTCTCTGGTCTCTCTTTGGTCTCTCTTTGGTCTCTCTCTTTGTTCTCTCTTTGGTCTCTCTTTGGTCTCTCTTTGGTCTCTCTTTGATCTCTCTCTCTGGTCTCTCTCTGGTCTCTCTTTGGTCTCTCTTTGGTCTCTCTTTGGTCTCTCTGGTCTCTGGTCTCTCTTTGGTCTCTCTCTCTGGTCTCTCTTTGGTCTCTCTCTCTCTCTGGTCTCTCTTTGGTCTCTCCCTCTCTGGTCTCTCTTTGGTCTCTCTCTCTGGTCTCTCTTTGGTCTCTCTCTCTGGTCTCTCTTTGGTCTCTCCCTCTCTGGTCCCTCTCTCTCGTCTCTCTCCTTCTCACATTCTTTGTAGGTTTTTGGGTTTCTTTTTCTTAAATTGTGCTTTATAAATAAATCTCCCTTGCCTTGCATCTGACCAATCACTGGGAGCAAGAGTAGAGTAGAGTAGAGTAGAGTAGAGTAGAGTAGAGTAGAGTAGAGTAGAGTAGAGTAGAGTAGAGTAGGGCCAAGTAACAGGGCAATAGAATAACTTAGTATTGGACATTTCTTTTCGAGGCAAAGCAAAACATAAATTGGCAAAAATGTATCTTAACTTGAGAACATTGTGACGGCTTTAAAACAGTATTTTACGACGGGACAAAGCAAACTGTCTCAGATTACGATAAAAACCACAGATTCTAAACATGTATTACCTCATATTTGATCATTTTTTGCAGTGTGAGAAGTTTCCATTAGAGTTCTGTCCTCTGCTCACACTCACTGTGCTGCTTTTATGACAAATACCATCGAAAGCAGAGCGATGCTTGTGGATTTTTTATACGTAAAAATATAGCTCTATAAAAAGTATATGAGCGACATAAAGTCATGGTACCCCTGCTTTATGAAACAGAGCCCAGACCACATTAAAGACCGGGTTCTGGTCTCGGTGCGCGGCTCTGTATCTGCGAACATGCAAATCTGTGATCCAGCGCCACACGGGGAACACAAGTGGATCCAGTCTCTGTCAGTCTGTGGGTATGACCCCCAACACGAGCCAGTGCTGCAAAAAGTCCTGGAAAATGTGTCAAAAAATGCTCAAATTTGGCAAAATGCATCTTTGAAGAACATTCTGACTGCATTAAAAGAAGCTATGTCAACGGGACATAGCTTCTCCCTCTCTCTCCCTCTCTCTCTCTCTCTCCCTCTCTCTCTCTCTCCCTCTTTCTCTCTCCCTCTCTCCCTCTCTCTCTCTCTCTCCCTCTCTCTCTCTCTCCCTCTTTCTCTCTCCCTCTCTCCCTCTCTCTCTCTCTCTCTCTCTCTCTCCCTCTCTTTCTCTTTCTCTTTCTCTCTCCCTCTCTCTCTCTCTGGTGTTTTGTCGTTCCTGGTCCTGTCCCAGAGCCGGAGACTGGTGCAGACGTCCTGTGGTCTGTGCCTCTGAGCTCGGGGTGAGTGGGCGACAAAATGTTGGAATGACAAAAACTTAGAAAAACAAAGTCAAAGTCACCAAAACCTCAATGGACTCTACACAATGAAATTCTAATTAGCCACCAACAATAATGATGATAAAGTGGAGTCTAGACATGTTGGATGGAATAAAAAGGGGGGATTTTACGAGACCATAAGACTGGGTTTGACACAGCCCCCGGTGTCTGCAGTGACACCGGTTTATGAATAACGCGGTGTTAGCTTCTGCTGATGCGAGGGGAAAGTGCACGTCTGGTTCTCGGTTTCTGCCACGGCTTTGCTTATTTATGTATTAATTTTCATGTGGTGTTTTCAGTGACAAGAATCCACAAACAACAGCCAGACTTGGTAAACTGGACGATTGGCAATCAACTGAACCACTGAGGCGGATATTGGGCTGATTTAAAAGTATTACAACTGCTTTTTAATTCAATTTGATTCAGTGTATTTTTTGCGCAACAGTATTGATCTAAGAGGACGGGGTTAGCTGTTGCTATGATGGTTGCTAAGGCATTTTTAGCTTCTTTTTTCTATTTCTTAAAGAAGCTATACCCGATTGTATTAATGAGTTCATAAAAATGCTTATTACTACATAGAAGTTGTTTTATAATCCGTAATTTAATTAGCTGTCAGCTGTTGCTATGATGGTTGCTAAGGTATTTTTAGCATATTATTTGTAATTTCTTAAGCCCAAAATAATGAGTGTGACATCGTTTTTAGAGTGAGTTGGAGCAAAACTTTGTCCATGAGCGCTTCCGGATTGAGCTAGCAGGTTAGCATTCATTCTGCGCTGTATTCCTGGATGTTGTTCAGCAGGAGCACATGTTTAAAAAGCCTGGGTTTCGGTCGACCGTGAGGACACTGCGGCTTCTGTCGTGTCTTTGATCTGTTTTTGGAAACAAATGTAATGATTGTGGTGGACTTTGAAATGTGCCATTCTCTGTCTCTCTCTCTGGCTGAAATGTGCATAAAAGTCTTTGTCACTCACTCCAGCTGAGGTGATGCTCACCCATCTCTGGTCTCCCTTTGGTCTCCCTTTGGTCTCTCTTTGGTCTCTCTGGTGTCTCCCTGGTCTCTCTTTTGTCCCCCTCTAGTCTCTTTCTAGTCTCTCTCTGGTCTCTCTCTTTTCTCTTTCTGGTCTCTCTCTGGTCTCTCCCTGGTGTCTCTCTGGTCTCTCTTTGGTCCCCCTTTAGTCTCTTTCTAGTTTCTCTCTGGTCTCTCTCAGGCCCTGCCCTGCTTAGCTTCATACAAAAGATGGCTCACTAAACTGGGAGTTGGTGTCACATTACAAGTCTTCCCCGTCCTCCAGTGTTTCCTGTACCTGCTGGTTCCGCTCTGCAGCTGCTGGATCTCCCCACGGAGCAGAAGCTGAGACTCAGACCTCAGAGATTTGTTGTGTGTTGTGTGTGAACTGAAGCGGTTTGTGTGTTTGAGCGGAGGATAAACAACAGGTGTCAAATGTGGAAGAGAAGATCCTCCTGGAACCACGAGAGAGAGATGTGTGTGATCGTTGGCAACAGCTCACTTCAATCATCTTTACCATCAACTTATTGCATAAAAATCAGCTGCTGTGCGTCCGGTGTGTCGTCCAGTGTGTGTGTGTGTGTGTGTGTGTGTGTGTGTGTGTGTGTGTGTGTGTGTGTGTGTGTATGGGTGGGTATGTGTGCGTGTGTGTGGGTATGTGCGTGTGTATATGCACTTGCAAATGTCCACCCATGGGGCCCGGGCATAGGGTACACATGTGTGTGCGTATGTCTGTGTATATGTGTGTATGTCTGTGTGTATATGTATATGTGTGTGTTTATATGTATGTGTAAGTGTGTGTGTGTGTATGTATGTGTAAGTGTCTGTATGTTTACGTGTAAGTGTGTGTGTGTATGTACTGTTTGTGTAAATGTATGTGTGTGTGTGTGTGTATGTGTAACTGTGTGTGTGTATGTATGTACTGTATATGTGTAATAGTGTGTGTGTGTATGAGTAAGTGTGTGTGTGTGTATGTGTGCACGTGTAAGTTTGTGTATGTGTATGTGTAAGTGTGTGTGTATGAATGTGTAAGTGTGTGTATGTGTGTATATCTATGTGTAAATGTGTGTATGTGTGTCGTGTAAGTATGTGTGTGTGTGTGTGTGTGTGCTGGTTGTGTCTCTCCTCGCACATGTTTGCATCTATAAACCATTGCAGCCCACATGGTTTAATTCAGATCCCTGCTGGTCTGTGCCGGTCTATGCTGGTCTATGCTGGTCTGTGCTGGTCTGTACCGGTCTGTGCTGGTGCTGGTCTGTGCCGGTCTGTGCTGGTCTGTGCCAGTCTGTGCTGGTGCTGGTCTGTGCTGGTGCTGGTCTGTGCTGGTCTGTGCCGGTCTGTGCTGGTCTGTGCCAGTCTGTGCCGGTCTGTGCTGGTGCTGGTCTGTGCTGGTGCTGGTCTGTGCTGGTCTGTGCCAGTCTGTGCCGGTCTGTGCTGGTCTGTGCTGGTCTGTACCGGTCTGTGCTGGTGCTGGTCTGTACCGGTCTGTGCTGGTGCTGGTCTGTGCCGGTCTGTGCTGGTGCTGGTCTGTGCCGGTCTGTGCCAGTCTGTGCTGGTGCTGGTCTGTGCTGGTCTGTGCCAGTCTGTGCCGGTCTGTGCTGGTCTGTGCTGGTCTGTGCTGGTCTGTACCGGTCTGTGCTGGTGCTGGTCTGTGCCGGTCTGTGCTGGTGCTGGTCTGTGCTGGTGCTGGTCTGTGCTGGTCTGTGCCAGTCTGTGCCGGTCTGTGCTGGTCTGTGCTGGTCTGTGCCGGTCTGTACCGGTCTGTGCTGGTGCTGGTCTGTACCGGTCTGTGCTGGTGCTGGTCTGTGCCGGTCTGTGCTGGTGCTGGTCTGTGCCGGTCTGTGCTGGTCTGTGCCGGTCTGTGCTGGTCTGTACCGGTCTGTGCTGGTGCTGGTCTGTGCCGGTCTGTGCTGGTCTGTACCGGTCTGTGCTGGTGCTGGTCTGTGCCGGTCTATGCTGGTCTGTGCTGGTCTGTGCCGGTCTGTGCCGGTCTGTGCCGGTCTGTGCCGGTCTGTGCTGGTCTGTGCTGGTCTGTGCTGGTCTGTGCCAATGGGAACCAGGTGTGATCTGACCTTCATTCCTCGCTGCACAAACCCATTTCCTCTCTTTCTCTGGAGCTTGTTTAGCTTTTGGCCATTTTTTGAATAAGAACTTTTAGATTTGGGCTGAACCTCGAAATAGATTCAGTTTGAGGCAAAAGCAGTTTATTTTGTGGATCGATCCTCGTTTGTCAATATTTTTGTAAACTTTGATTAAAATGGAATCAAGCAAGCATGTATTTTTGTTATTATTATTATAATTATAATTATTATTATTCATGGCTCAAACTCTTTCAGATTCTGCTGCATTTCAGATTCAGAAATAATGTGATGGAAATGAATCAGGAGGAGGGTGGTACCTGTGGCTCAGAGAATAGACTTTAAAGCAACTCTGAGGAGCACAGGGACTGGTCTCCTGCTGGGACTCTGAGGAGCACAGGGACTGGCCTCCTGCTGGGACTCTGAGAAGCACAGGGACTGGCCTCCTGCTGGGACTCTGAGGATCACAGGGACCGGCCTCCTGCTGGGACTCTGAGGAGCACAGGGACGGCCTCCTGCTGGACTCTGAGAAGCACAGGGACTGGCCTCCTGCTGGGACTCTGAGGATCACAGGGACCGGCCTCCTGCTGGGACTCTGAGAAGCACAGGGACTGGTCTCCTGCTGGGACTCTGAGGAGCACAGGGACTGGCCTCCTGCTGGGACTCTGAGGAGCACAGGGACTGGCCTCCTGCTGGGACTCTGAGGAGCACAGGGACTGGCCTCCTGCTGGGACTCTGAGGAGCACAGGGACTGGCCTCCTGCTGGGACTCTGAGGAGCACAGGGACTGGCCTCCTGCTGGGACTCTGAGGATCACAGGGACCGGCCTCCTGCTGGGACTCTGAGGAGCACAGGGACTGGCCTCCTGCTGGGACTCTGAGGAGCACAGGGACTGGCCTCCTGCTGGGACTCTGAGGATCACAGGGACTGGCCTCCTGCTGGGACTCTGAGGAGCACAGGGACTGGCCTCCTGCTGGGACTCTGAGGAGCACAGGGACTGGCCTCCTGCTGGGACTCTGAGGAGCACAGGGACTGGCCTCCTGCTGGGACTCTGAGGAGCACAGGGACTGGCCTCCTGCTGGGACTCTCTTTCTTCTCCTTCCTATTCTTCTACCTCTTCTCCTTTTTCCTCTTTTTCCTCTCCTCCTCCTCCTTCTCCTCCTCGGTCACAGTGATCATAACAAGTTCCTGTAGTTCCTGTAGTCCCTGTGGTCCCTGTGGTCCCTGTAGTCCCTGTAGTCCCTGTGGTTCCTGTAGTCCCTGCTGTAGTCCCTGTGGTCCCTGTAGTCCCTGTAGGCCCTGCTGTAGTCCCTGTAGTCCCTTCTGTAGTCCCTGTGGTCCCTGTAGTCCATGCTGTAGTCCCTGTAGTCCATGCTGTAGTCCCTGTGGTCCCTGTAGTCTCTGTAGTCCCTGCTGTAGTCCCTGTGGTCCCTGTAGGCCCTGCTGTAGTCCCTGTAGTCCCTGTAGTCTCTGTAGTCCCTGCTGTAGTCCCTGTAGTCTCTGTAGTCCCTGCTGTAGTCCCTGTGGTCCCTGTAGGCCCTGCTGTAGTCCCTGTAGTCCCTGCTGTAGTTCCTGTGGTCCCTGTAGTCCATGCTGTAGTCCCTGTAGTCCATGCTGTAGTCCCTGTGGTCCCTGTAGTCTCTGTAGTCCCTGCTGTAGTCCCTGTGGTCCCTGTAGGCCCTGCTGTAGTCCCTGTAGTCCCTGTAGTCTCTGTAGTCCCTGCTGTAGTCCCTGTAGTCTCTGTAGTCCCTGCTGTAGTCCCTGTGGTCCCTGTAGGCCCTGCTGTAGTCCCTGTAGTCCCTGCTGTAGTTCCTGTGGTCCCTGTAGTCTCTGTAGTCCCTGCTGTAGTCCCTGTGGTCCCTGTAGGCCCTGCTGTAGTCCCTGTAGTCCCTGTGGTCCCTGTAGGCCCTGCTGTAGTCCCTGTAGTCCATGCTGTAGTCCCTGTAGTCCCTGCTGTAGTTCCTGTGGTCCCTGTAGTCTCTGTAGTCCCTGCTGTAGTCCCTGTGGTCCCTGTAGGCCCTGCTGTAGTCCCTGTAGTCCATGCTGTAGTCCCTGTGGTCCCTGTAGTCTCTGTAGTCCCTGCTGTAGTCCCTGTGGTCCCTGTAGGCCCTGCTGTAGTCCCTGTAGTCCCTGCTGTAGTTCCTGTGGTCCCTGTAGTCCATGCTGTAGTCCCTGTAGTCCATGCTGTAGTCCCTGTGGTCCCTGTAGTCCCTGTAGTCCCTGTAGTCCCGCCTGGAGGCCTGAGGCTCCTCTATCACACCCTTCTCTCTCAATGAGGATCTGACAAAGAGAAGGGAGGAGGTAATCTAACCCCAGACCTGTGTGTGAGGATGGCGTGCTGATCCCGAGACGTTCCAGTGTTGCCGTGGCTCGACAGCAGTGTCTCATGTCTCTGGATCCAAGCAGTACATGTTAAAGCTGGGGAACCGGACTTTGAAACCACAAAAAACTTAACTATGTAACAAAATCCATGCAACTAAACTCTCCTTTTTGTGGCATTGTCCAATAATAACACACACACACGCACATATGCACAGACACGCACACGCACACACCCACACACACGCACACACACACATTATTAGCTTGATCTTACCACACCATTGTACAATTGGATCTGAATTTGCAGTGGCGTATGTAATGAGCCCGAGTGAGTCGTTAGCATTTAGCCTAGCTTTAGCATCTAGCCTAGCTTTAGCCATTTATTTTTATTTATTATTTATTGAGTTGGGACAATGCACATTCATCAACATTGGTTCTTTAAGCCTCAGTGTAAATGCGCCGGACTTAGCATAACTGTTAGCTTTAGCATTTAGCCTAGCTTTAGCCATCTCCTTTGCCACTAACGAAGCCCACGGGGAGTAGAGCCACAACATCTTTGCAGCAATGACATTTGTTAAAAATTCCTCTTGCTCCGGCTTCAATTTCTTGATATTTGGAGCAGTGAGAGATCCTTTATTTGTCCCTCGGTGGGGGAAATTTCAATGTTGCAGCGCACAGACAGGACAGTAGGGAGCACACAGAACAAAAATAAGTAGCTGCTATGTTTCTGAGATAGCTGTAAACGCTTCAAAATCAAAATGTGCATATATGTATACAGATAAACGTAACAATAATTAAAAATAACATGTTTTACCACAGGGCATTTATATTCTGCAAAGAGTTATGCAAAATAAGTCAAGAATGGCTCAAATTTGGCACAATGTCAAATTTTGACTGAGCCTTTAAACAAGATTCTCCAACGGGACAAAGCAAAATGATCTTGTTTGAGAAATATACAACAAATGTCTCCCTTGGAAAGAGAAAATACAGTTCTGGGAATAAGACTAAATGGCTTCGTCCCATTGGTCAGAATGTGTCAGACCAAGATAAAACTTTGTATCATTTTTCAATCTATTCTGCCCAATTTTTCTGTCTTTTTTCCCTCAAGGTGATCATCAATGGCTTGGATTTCCAACCGTCGCCTTGACCCATGTGTGCCGGGGCTTTGTGCGGCACAGACACTGAGAATAAAAGGTGCAGAGGGTGGGGACAGGCGCAGAGGGTGGAACAGCCACAATACACCCAGGATCCAGGGAACAGCCCAGATCCAGGACCATCCAGGCCACAATAGTCACAGTTCAGGTTTGTCACCGCAGCATTTCAGATTAAGATTAAGATTAAAATGAAGATGAAGATGAAGAGATCCTGTACTGGTCCCACATTGAGGAAATGTCAGTGTTGCATCAGCGGTTACAGAGCAGTAGAATGAGGAGCACAAGAGACATGAACAATAACTACTGTATATACTAGAATTAAATAAAATCTCTAACTTTAGCATAATAAAGAAGCAAGAAAGAAGTGTGTAACGTGTACATCTGGAGTTGATGAGTCTGATGTGAGGCTGAGGAAGGCGTGGGCCCCGTGCGATGACGTAGATAAATAGATAAATAGATACTTTATTGATCCGTGTAAGAGAAACTCAGGTGTCCAGCAGCAGAAGACAAATCCAGGTTTGTTGTACAGTCTGACAGCGGAAGGAACAAAGGATCTCTTGAAACGCTCCGTTCGGCAGCGTAGTGATAGGAGCCTGTTGCTACGGTTACTCCTCTGAGCGGCCATAGTGTCATGCAGAGGGTGTCTGGAGTTACCCAGAATGCACTGCATTAGGGCCCTATTACGTATCACCTAATAGTCAGTCCACCAATTTGAACCAAACTTCAATTTCCAAGCAACTAAAAACAGCTGCCTTCAATTTTACAGCAATTAAGACACAACTTTATACAAATAATGACACAGAAATATTACAAGAAACGTGTTCTTTGGAACGAGACTTTGTCCCATTGGAGACTCTGGTTTTAACACGGTCAGAATGTGTCAGATTAAGATTTAAAAAACACTCGATTCAAGCTTTTATTACCTCATATTTTATCATTATTTGTAGAGCATAAGCCTTCAAAGTGACTGCTCTGGGAGTCCTAATGTAAGGATAAAGCTGTGGGAAAAGCTCTGAGATGCGCTAAAGAGACAGATCTCTGGATGTGTCTTTGAAGAGAGACTGTAATTAACAAAACTCAACATTATGTTCTGCGCCGAGGAGGCTTCATACACTGCAAAAAGTGTCTTAATCTGAGCAGTTCTGACTGAGCCGAAAAACTAGATTTTCCAACGAGACAAAGCAAAAATATCTTGTTTTAAAAAGACAAAAGAAATGTCTCACTGCAAAAAATAATAACACATGAGGTTTATACTAATTGCTTAAATCAAGTGTTTTTTTAATCTTAAAGATGCAGTCAGGGGTTTTTTCCAGACACAATTTTGTCAAATATTGTAGAAAATTATCCCTAAACCATAAATGTCTCAAGTTATGAAGTGTTTTCAAATAGTAATGGAATTGAGCAGATGTCTATAGTCTACAAAAATTCATAAAACATATTTTGGAGCAGACCGATAAAAATAAACCAATGGGATGCGTTTACCCCCTTCACCCACTTCCTGTTTCTCGTGAGTGCACCAGAGTTA